CACTCCACTCCACTCCACTCCACTCCACTCCACTCCACTCCACTCCACTCCACTCCACTCCACCTCACTCCACTCCACTCCACTCCACTCCACTCCACTCCACTTCACTCAACTTCACTCACTCACTCACTCACGCACTCACGCACTCACTCACTCACTCACTCACTCACACTCGCACTCATACTCACACTCACACTCACACTCTCACTCTCACTCTCACTCTCACTCTCACTCTCACTCTCACTCTCACTTTCACTCTCACACTCTCACCCTCACTCACACTCTCACTCTCACTCTCTCACTCTCACTCTCACCCTCACTCTCACTCTCACTCTCACTCTCACTCTCATCTCACTCGCTCTTACTCTCACTCTCGCACCCCCACTCTCACTCTCACTCTCTGACTCCTCCCTCCCTCGCTCATTCACTCTCTCACTCTCTCACTCCCTCCCTCCCTCGCTCGCTCGCTCGCTCCCTCACTCTTTCACACTCAATCACTCACTCACCCACACACTCACTCCCTCCCTCCCTCCCTCCCTCCCTCACTCACTCAATGAAAAACTATGCATCTTAGACATTTTAAACTATATTTTCACAAGGTCAGTTTTTCTTTTACAAAAGAGAAGAGGTTCGTTAAACATAAATTTGCCAATCAATGCATTTTCATGCAGACATGTACTTTGGCACACAGGTCTTTTTTTGTGTAGATGTCGGATGATGTCGGTAATTTGATCGAACAACCAGGTCAATTGAAGGTGCCAGAGGTCCACCTGCGCGTCCTGCAAATCCAATTTCAAGGCCGCCATGACGGGCCCGATTGGAAGATAACACCTTCTCATTGGTAGCATGGTTGAATCCACTACCTACGTCTTTCGTCGGAAACATTATATAATAGGATAATTTGTGTTTGGAGTCGCACCATCAAAGTGCAAGCAATCAAATAAAATTATAGTTTGGCATTGATTGATATTTGTGAAGCTGTCAAACCATGTCTTCCATAGTGTGCCATAGGTGCATAATAGCGCAGTGAGAAAACAAACCAAACAACACCAAACCGTTGTGGCTTGCAAGGTGGTTTGGATGAAAATCAACTACTGCAGTTTCTTGACAAGACGGACCTAAGGCCCAGACGGTGTCCTCCGCTTGATTTTTTTCAATGAATTTGGCATTGGAGGGCCAACTCGGGGAGGGGTAGGCCGTTAGTACTAGTAACTAAGTAGCGCTACAAGTAGCCTAAATAACTACTATATACTGTAGTATCTTGGAATTTTGGAAGCACGGGGACTCAACGTTATGGAACATCGTCCATGGTTATGCCTTCCCTGCTGCATTTGGAAGCTGAGTTACAACTTTCCAGCTCTTCCATACAAGTGATCAAAGATTATCAGACTAGTTCAGACGATAGTGGAGACCATACACTGACACGACCGCCAGACCCAGCTTCTTTGCCGCCAAGCAAAGCATTCCTGACCATTTCCTGGCTGCACTGCGAAGCAGGTCCATCAAGTTGCTTTGTGGCATGGTGTTTGCTGTCAATCTTTGAGTTGCCCACTGTGTCCCGATTTAGAGATACTGTAATTATCAATCAACCTCCATTAACTTTCTCGCATTCTGCAACCTCCTTGTAGACGCACGTTTTTAAGCGATCGTGAAGTTGATGAGATGCAGACTGTGACTGAAGAAAGATATACAATGTGGTGTGACCAAGTCCTGCAGGGAGGAACATGCCAATGCCGAGATATGCAGTGCTTGAGATTTGTGAATTGTCAATCTGGGTGTTTGTCAATCGAACAGGCGCATCTCCATGAGTCCATGTCATGCGGTTGTGGAGCGTCTCCTGCCATCGTTGTGGTAAGGCCTTGGTACTGCCAAGACACCTCATCGCCCACCTTGTCTGAGCGCGCAGTGCTTTATGAGCTCCTAAGCGCTGACTAGCGAGCTCCAAGCAATACTTGGGTTGAATGCGGAGAATCACAAGTTTGGAATGGAGCTGAAGTGCTGACCTAGAACCAGGAGAGCATGGTGTATTAGTGCATGCAGACGCATTGAAGGGTCTATGGATTGGGTACGGTATCACACCATATCACACCATAAAGATCTGCAGCGCAAGTAGAGACCTAGACGAATATGTTTTTCTGCCAAAGATTGCGCAGCATTTTGTGTTTGTGCAGTAAGCTATGCCGGCTATCCCTTTAATTCAAGAAACTCACGGAGGAAGACATATTGCAGACTCGAGGTGACAGTGTCATAGTCATAGTGGTTTTGGCTGCAGGGACTGTAACATACTGTAACGATGGCATCCGGTCAGGGCATTCCAGATGATGATGTCATTAGACACTATACATTGAAGTCGCAGAATGCGCGGTTTTGATTTTAAAAAGAGCGGCCACTCGAGCGACCGCAAGTGACCGCAAGCAATGCTACCGAACTAAAGTGAACAAATAAGCGAGTTTGAACCGCAAGGTTGGAGCCTCACGGCACCCTTGCAATAAGTGCCGCGAGGAAGCAACTTATCCCACGACCAACAGTCGCCAGAGTAGTTGGCCAAGATTTTGAACAAGCTTCCAGCGCGCGCATTGCACTCAAGTGACGCCAGCCCGTGCACCACAGATTGCCACCCAACCAACTCACTCCTGCAGACAAGCACACAGCGTTTTTCACACAGAGCAATGAACACCCCTCCAGCCCCTGTGGGGAATTATATATTGAAGATAGCTTTGTATTGCACATGGTTCAATCAAGTATTTCTTCGCTGTCAGATTGTAGTCTGGCAGTGGCTTTTGGGCAACATAAGTTGCGGGTTTGCTAGGCAAAAGTTTGTTAATTAACTTTCTTACGGCTACACTACGCTACATTGCATGCTGTCTGCTATGTAATGCTACCCGCAGGCCTCAATGTTTCGTCTTTGTGTTGAGGACCTTGGCGAGTTCGCGCTTTGAAACCGCAGCGGGTGAGCGGCTGGCCCAAGACTTCCTCTGGCCTTGAGTTGAGATGTTGAGCAGGAGAGGTTCGTTGTTGTAAAATGGTTTACCAGAGCGTTCCCTTCCCTGGCTGCAGCAGATTCCCGCTTGTGCCGACAGTCCAGGATGGCTTGTCATTCAGCAGAAGTTCAAGCACTATGAGCGATTATTATTGCTGATTTGCCCTGCTAAATGCGAAGTTACATCCTATAGCTAGGGTGACAAAAGTCATGAGCGCAATCAGTTGTACATGTAAGACCGTGGCGGAGAAAGTTGCCGAGGACGTCCAGAGTTTCCAATTTGAAGGGTGCACTTGCACATAAACGCTCTTGTTCTGAGAGTATGTTTTGCTCTTGGCAACCCTAGAACGCTGGGAGGCCATTGCAATTCAATTTCAAGTGCATATTCTCGCCAGCTTAGCTCATCAAGCAGTCCGATGAAGCAGGCTGAAAAACCTTAGATATTGTCAGCATTCATCAAGTCTGCGTACGGTATATATCCCAGACAGTCAAGAGCTGAGCTCTGACAAACGCCTCTTATTCAATTCAAATCTTCCAGGAGTTTTGAGCGTTGCAGTCCACTGGATTGGTTTAGTCATGTCAATCAACAGAACAACAAAAAGAGATGCAAAGAATACAGTTTGTCCAGAATGTTTTTTGGGCAAAGGCCGCGAAACAACCTTCAATGCACGTGACTTGGCACAAGCCCATATTGACAAGATACAATGTAGCTTGAGCCCCATTCCATCGTTAAAGAAAACTATGGTTGCCATGGACAGCAGAGGTCGCCCGTGCAGCATGTACCGTAGATGATTTGCACAGGAGAGTGAGATGATTGCAGCAGTTTACTTACTGTCGCTTGTCGAATTACTTTCTCGCATGTCGGGTCAAAACTGGTATAACTACCACACTTGTGTGATCTTGTGTGACACTCCCTTCCACTTGTGTAGGTGGACTACCTCGCTGGTTGTGTGGGCCTCGAGCACATGCCATGTTTTTAAATGGCAGACTCTGCACAAGAATAGTGGACCAATCAAAGATGGAGCTTTAGCAAGCTTGCTTACTTACTTACTTACTCACTCATTCTCGACAGACCAACAAAGCGTAGCTCCTGCACTGTAGCCCGTTCAAATCCAATGCAATTTGGCACATCTGATGTGGGGCGCTACTAGACTTTCATGTCGTGTCCTCGCCCCAGTCTTTTGCAACGCACTTTGCCCTGGCGCAAAACCGCTCGGGGCACGCCCGGGACACGCCACTTTCTGATACTTCTTCGTATTTGTAGCTTTTTCTATTTGGCTGAGGCCTTCGCAGCCTTGGTATGTAGTAGTTGGAGCTCTGCTGGCGACTTGTTTGGAAACGTCGCAAAGCCTTGAATTGCATCGAAGGATCTCGGATCTCAATGTAGTGCGATGTACCGTCAGTTGTTTCTGTTATTGTCAGTGCATGACAAGGCAAACAGTCCAGTGCAAGTTTTGTTTACATGGATGGAACCATACCCGGAAGAAGCGATCATCATCCCAGGGCCAAGGTTCACAATACATTTTTGAAAAATTCAATCTTGTGTGCGATCACACAGTGCTCGAATTTGTGACCCTCTTGACGGCATCGACATATCAAGGACGAGGTTGGTTTGCAATTGAGCGTCGCTTGCATTCATCAGATGGGATTCCTGAGGCTTGCCATTGTGCGGTCACTTTTTGTCAGGTGATGGCATGGGAGAGGGATTGGCAGTTCTGAGGGCTCTTTCTCATGTCTTTTGCCAAGTAGTATTCCTTATATACTTAGTTGCCCTTGCCATCGTGTTGAGATGAATTGAACTTCTCAATCTTGTCGACTGTTCTTTTGCTTGTTCTAGAGTCTAGAGACGATGTCGCAATGTCAGGATTTGCTTGTGTCCACCACAGAAAGTAGGGTTGTGGCAACAAGAAACATTTGGATTCGCGGAGTTGGGATTCTTAAGTCGTTTGCATTGGTACTGCAACGAATCCCCTCAACAAAAACTCCTCAACCCTTGCGCAGTCTCTGACACCTACGAAGTGATGGCCTGAGTAAACCACCAATAACTTCTTCAATGATTCAATGACTGTCTCACCTGGATGCCTTCCTCAAATCATTCTTTGAGAGAACCCCAAATGTGTGGTTGGAATTCTTTGCTGCATGTTTTTGATCATGTTTGATCATGATCCACGGAATAATATCAAGACGACATGCTCAGTTTTTGTTTTTTTTTGATGTTTTTGGATATCCACAGACCTTTTCTAGCTCGCACTTAGGCACAGGTATTTTGAGCTCGGGTTTCTGTTTATATGTTGCTTAAAAGCAATGCTTGCTTTGCCTCCCAGATGAGCACGCCTCAGCAGTCTTGCTACATGTATCAATGTATTGTATCGTAGTGCGCCAAGGCCCCAGTCTTCCGTCGCTCGGAATGCAGTCAGGATCTGAGACTCTTTACACGTCTTTGTACTGAACCAAGGTTACAGGCTCTTTTGCAACCGATTGCCCTAGCTTTTGTCTACCCCCGGCTGGCCTCAAGTTATTCATACCAGTTTGCCAATTCGAACATTGTTACAGTAATTATGCTTTGCGCTTTTGTGCCTTTTTGAGCTTGACGAATCTTTTGCTTCGCTTGTTCCCAGGTGCACAACTTCAAGCGTCTCAGAACGTTGACTCTTGGGTCGAAAGGGAGCATCAGCCCAGTCGAAGGCTTCCAAATTCCTTGCTTTTTGTGTCAGGCGTTTGGTCCGGAGTAGCTGAGCATGTTGGTCTATGAGGATGCAAAGAACCCAGTAACATGTTGGTTTAGGAACCTGGAGGTATGGCTGTTCAGGTTGATCATTGATGAGAGTGAATCAGTCAGTGTGCAAAGCTCACGGAGGTGGTAATGCCATTCAGACATACTCATGGTACCTGGACCAGAGCCCTGATGCAGATCATTAGCACTGGGATGCGTATGAGCTGCAAATCTCAAACCTCTACCATCATATATGTCCATGATTTTCCAAGAAGTGCTTGAAGTGCTATGCACGAGACGTGGTGAAAGCAGCAGCAGCTTTCAAACATAGAATTGACTGCGGTGTACCCATTGCCTGCATTTCTTTGTAATCACACAAAAAAGCCCTGCCTCAACAAAGTACGTATACTCTAGTTGTTTGTTTGGTTGTGGGTTTTGATGTAGTGACCTCCCACCCTCTGTGGTGACTGGCAATGTCTCGAGTGTTGTATTCTAGGGTGCAATCTCAGGAAGAAAATCCGTCCGGGACCTGTTCCGCCCGGACTCCGAGCAGTGCAGTCTCAGCCCCTAGTAGCGTCCTTGCTCCTAGTTGTGGCCGTACAGCCCCAACATTGGTCAATCAGGTCAAAGGGTTTGTTGGGTCAAAGTTTGGATGCTTGGCCTCTAGCCCAACAATCAACCTCTGTGAACCTTTACGATATGTTTGGCATTCTATGAGCGTACATCTCCCCTTTTGTTGTGCTATTGTTATACAATCTTCTGTTTCTAGTAGCTTCTTGTTACTAGTAGTACGGCCAGGAGCCCCTAGTAGCGTCCTTGCTCCTAGTAGTAAGGCCAGGAGCCCCTAGTAGCAGCACTTAGCTCTGTACCAACGAAGTGTTCGTCCAAATAGTCGATGCAAATTGTGCAGGGCTGAGCGTGCATGGCTTCCTTGGACACCAGGTGAAGAGGCACCTTCACCACGACTGGGACAGTCAAGAACCGGAAGCAGACTTTGTTCTTTGCAGAAACTGGGTACAAACGATCCCAGCTGGCACCCGTCTTGGTTCAAGTGCTGTCCCAAGTTGGGGTAATATCAGCCAGCCCAGTTGTGCCCAATTGTCAGGCACGTGAGCCCACTCCCGAGGAGAATGGATGTGCTGGCTTCGCAGGGAATTGAGACCGTTTGACCGAAGACTAAGACTATGGACACAATCTTGCAGGAGGTTCATTTTGTTGTACTAAAAGTAGCGAACTAAATCGATTTCGGGCAATTAGACTAAGCTTTGCAACTGGACTAGTTGGACATAGTTGGACCATTCCCTTTGTCTTCCATGTTCCATCATCTTCCCAGGGAGTTCCAGGTCTTGGTATGAGCATTGCAATCTTGCTCTTCCATTGTTTGCAGGGATCCCTAAGATGCAATGTGGAGTCGCAAGAACATATCGACAATATGCAGATTTAACCTATCGGAGTGTGCTCAATCAAGGTGCAGTTTCCTGCAACTTTTAGGAGTTGGCGAGGGAAGAATACTTGGAGAGGATGCTCCAATGTGAAGAGGCCCAGCATCGCAAGTGCAAGCTGAATGTTGTGCTTGCATCGTTCGCATCGAGCTGGAGAAAAGGCATCTTGAAACATCGCACCTTACATTCGCTTTTGGTGCGTCGTTTAAATTAGAGATTGAGCTTCCTGGTCCGAACCCATTTTCTAGTCTACCAGCGAATGGCTTTGATGTTAAGCTTCTGATAGGTCCTTTCCCATATTGAAGTGTAGCCACACTCCAAGCACCAGCTGCAAGTGTTGCTTTCTTTGATTCATACGTCTCAAGCCAAACAAATCAGCTGGAGGAAACCAATGCACCAGAGCCTCCCTATTCCTAGCCGCTAGTCCTTTCGTTTTCGTAATATTTAAGCCCCATTGTCATTCAATATACTCAATCTTGCACGTCGCACAGGTCTCCTGCTCCCGGGAACTGCTAGAGGAGATGCAGGCCAAAGATTTGCCTCCAGCAGGGCCTCCAAGATTTGGGGAAGGAGGAACGGGACGCCGTGCTAAAGCGTAAACGCCACGTGCAACTTTGGGCCGTGCCGAGGCCTTGGAGAACTACCATGCTGCACTATTGGTGTGTGCCAACGCCTCGCCCTCAGATCCATCACTGAACGCACCCTCCGTAGGGTTCGATGGAACGAGTACCATGAGCAGTCATGAAAGGTCAGTAACTCTAACTGTTGGCTGTTTCTGGTTGCACAACATGAGGTATGAAGAAAGGCACATGAGCGCAAGAATCAGCTCATGCTCCCAAAATATAGATTGTGTCATATTGCGTCGAAGGTTTGGCTTCTGGAGCCGGGTGATTTTGCACTATGGCTTTGATCCTTACAGTACCGCTACAGCATGGCCACTGTATATAAGTTGATAATACCTGTGAAGCAGCAATCTAGTTTCACACCAAAGAATCGGATCTGAAGACTCTGTGCATTCGCCGTGCTTGAAATTTGATGATGCTGTTGTGGCAATGAGGTAGGGGATGCCCCTTTGTTGGGAGGTGACAACTGCGTGACCCTATGACGTTCCTGCTTCGAGAATGTATCACTTCTCTCGACTATGCTAAGGTCACTGCATGGCAAGAGGCCAAGGATTTCCTCCAGGAGTGCAAACACGCAACTCGCCATTTTGCCATGGCATTGCAAGTGGCGGTTGTGATCAGAGATGCATGGAACATGCATTATGTACGCATGCTGGAGAACTTGACACTAGGACTCTTAAAGCCATTTTGCCACAATGACCATAGAATTTTGCCGTATTCTATTAATTTAATCCTCTCCACCTATTAAACAACACGGCCCCCCCCCCTCCCCCTAATTCTTTTAAAGTAGGGGTCCCTGAAATCGGGGTTTTCCAAAATAGGGTCAGTGGGAGGATTCTTTTCAATAATCATTGATGACATATGAAGTGCAGATTTCGTGCAGACACCTGGGAAAAGCTTGAAAACCAAACAGTCACCCAGGAAAATGTTATTTTAGATCCTTGATTAAACTCGTATCAAAAATTGAAAAAAAGCTCCAGATCGAAGGGTCTTCCTTTCCCTTGACAAAAACCCTTATTCTATACTAAAATGATTCTTCATCAGACTAACAACTAAAGCTTTTGAAAGGTGATGTCGCTGTGCCATGCCGTTTTGCGCGGCCTCAGTGACGGTGGCAAGTGCGTTTGCGTGAGTCCGTGCCATTGGGGGAAGGAAAGCCTGCTGGTGGGCAGAGGTGGGCAGTTGGGGTTGCTTTTGGAGCCTATAAACAGAACTACACTAAAAATCGACCATGGACCATGTTGGTAGTTTAGTAGCGGCTTGAAAGGGCGGTAGGCTTAAAAAGTATAAGCCGTGCTTAGACGGTGCTTTTTAATTGGTGAGTGTTTTTAATAGCTACTCAGGATTAATACTGGAATACTAGATCTTACATAGTAACACTCCCGGGAAACAACTCAGGGAGAGTGAGCAGAGTCAACCCCACCAAAGCTTGGGATTGAGCAGCAGTAGTATAGTAGTAGTAGTGGTGGTAGTAGTAGTAGTAGGAGTAGTAGGAGTAGGAGTAGGAGTAGGACTAGTAGGAGTAGTAGTAGTAGTAGTAGTAGTAGTTGCAGTAGCAGTAGCAGTAGCAGTAGGAGTAGGAGTAGGAGTAGTAGTAGTCGTAGTGGTAGTGGTAGTGGTAGTGGCAGTGGCAGTGGTAGTGGTAGTGGTAGTGGTAGTAGTGGTGGTGGTGGTGGTATTCCGACCCTCTAAACTCCCCTGGGCAGGAGGAAAACCTTTTTGACAACGCCTTTCAGTTCAGAGTTTCAGGCATCAAACAAAGCCTCAGCCTCAGCAGAGGTTAAACAATATTCTTAAAGGGGAGGAGTAGCTGAACAATAGAAAACAACATCAATGGACAAACCACCTCCTTTTTGGCGAAGAAGAAAACTATTCCCACCCACAAAACTATGGGAATAATTTCGGGGGACTGTTTAAATGAATCCCTGAAACTTTACCAACTAGGATTCGACATTATCATGATTCCAGTGCACGATTGCAATATATAAAACAACAACACAGATCATAGCCGTAGAATGCCGTAGATATATCTATTTTTCAGTTATTTTGCACTTTGTTGTCATTGTCACGATTGCTTCAACAGGATGTTTTTTAACAATCGGTGGATTGCCAACGGTTTCAGTGTAGGAGTCTTACAATAGCTCTTACAGTACCTGACTGAATTAGGGAAAACATTGCATGATATGTAAGCCCAAAGAACAAATTCCCTGTTCCTTTTTTTTGCAGTGTAGTGCAACAAGAATGGTTGCACGACTACCCTGAACAGCGCCCTGGTTTGTGTGGTTCATGCCACGTTTCACCTCTTCCAATAGTTGTGTCAATGTGCAGTATTGTGCAGTTGATGACAGGAGATGACGCACGAACGCGTCCCACCCGATCACACTGCATACCATCTCGCAATGGACGCTGCTGGCAAAGGATCAGGACAGTCGCACGATGTTATATATGATCAAAAGTACACGTAGGTGGTACACGAGTGGCATCGTTCACTAAATACAGCTGATGAAATTCCTGAGATCCTCCTGCACAAGTTCTTGCCACGTTCTCTATAGTCTATGGAGTACCCTCAGGAGCTCCGATTGAGTTCACTGAACAGCTTTTCAACGAGGCACGATCTTATTCTGGCGGCTAGACTTGCTTCGAGAATCCCACAAACTTTGAGCCCCTGTCCTTGTGCAGATTATTTTACCAGCTGCAGATTCAAGCTGTATCAACTGTAAATTGAACCTTTTCTAGCTACACTCAACAAGCAGCAGTGCTGCTGCTGGTTGTTGCGATGGTGTCCTATTTTCAAATCCTACTTCCCACCCGTGCAAGATGCAATCTCGGGCAATGGTCCCCACTCCAGAGACCTACACAAAGGCAGGGCAGGGCCGGTTGGACACGGATGCTTTGCAGGGCTGTAGGCGTCAATAGAAGTGCAAACCTAGCCAAACTCTTTTTTCTCACTCAACTTCAGCTTCATGCATCCAAGAACGGTGTGCAGTAAGTAGATGTAAAGACGAGAAAGAAGGCTGTGAAGGAGTGCCATTGATGATTCTTCAACCAATGAGTCAGTTAGTCCATGTTTTTCGGGCAACTTTCGTCAGTGTCCTACGGATCCTGTTCGCAGGTCATCCATGCCTACATCAGTCGGGGCAATGAGAAGTTTGCGCGGCGTTTTGTTCGTGAGGCTTGATACTGTACTCCGTGCTGGTGCACCAGGTGGTTCTTTGAGTTCTTTGCTCCAAACTCAACCGAAAGCCTCGATTACCCTGGCAAACTTAACAGCAGAAAGCCTTGGAACAATTCGTTAAGTTGGATGATTATGATGGAGATCTCTGCAAACCCTGCCTAACATTGGTCTGGCGAGGCAAAGCAATGCTTTTTGTTCAGGGCAGAAGTCGGATATGTCGGACATGTTTTCACATGTTTTCACGACTAGCCGCTGTAATACTCCCCCGGATTGTTGGATTAAAACTGCGTGTGAGCAGCTGTAGCCGGGCCGGTTGCCCCGATGCCTACCCCCATGCCTGGTAGCTTTGCTTGTAGCTATCCAGCTAAAACTATTGTGAACACACAAGTTATTTCAGACGCAGACGATTTGGGAGTTCTCAGTTGTTCATAGTTTGTTGGGTTTCTCGTTTGTGGCAGGCAATTCTTTTAACAGGGTGATGGTATCATTGTTTAGAAGATCAGGCATTGCACTCCACAAAGAAGCCGAGCGTATAAAGGGCAAAGGTTTGGGAAGATCGTTGATGTAGAATGTAGAACACAAGCACGGACTTTGCCATGTCCGGAGCAGCCGCTGTGAACCGCATGGTGAAGAGTAGCACATAGTAGCACTATATTCATAGCTCAGCAGTTACATTGTCCGAATATTGAAAAAGAACCAACATCCGAGTGCACAGAGAGGTTCTTGCATCAAGTTGCACGTTGTTGTTCGGGGTAGATGCTTGGTATTCTGGCCAGGCGTTCCAACGAGGATTGCTGCAGATTTGGACCAACGGCGGAGTATTTTTGCAGCTTTACGTCAGAGGCTCTGGAAAGATATTGCAAACCGTTTCCAACCCTTGTAGTAGGATGTCATGTCATTCTCAACAACAGAGGGCGAAGCACTGGCACATGCAACATTTATGCCGTCAATGTAATGAACTTTTCACTGAGGTTAGTTGTGGCTGGTGGTGTGAGTGAAACAAACACAATTAGTGCACCCATTGCACACCCTCTCATACCCTGTTCAGATGTGGCAGCGACATTGCAGGACACATAGGTTGAGTCACAGCGGGGCACTATATATAAAATTGCAAAACTCAGTAAAATTTGGAGTGCCGCGCCGAGGACTTCCCCACAGACGTGGCTCTGGCCAGGGCCCCTGCCAACTGTTCTGAACACACCGGACTGTGAAAGGAATCAAGTCTCTTTATGATCCATGTGGCTCCGCTAAACAGTGGGTCAAAGGAATTGAACACATTTTTGAGGGCATAGAGAATTGGTCAGCCATGTTTCAAGGCAAGCTGCTGGTCAAGCCGAAAATTGTCCTAGTTTGTATTATTGCATCAGAAGACATTGGGCAAGACATGAGATCCGCAACTTCAACTAGTGATAACTATTCTCTTCAAGATTTTCAAAAGGTTTGCTAAACGCTAAAAGGGGCATTTACTAGATTAAGCAAGGATTTTGTGAGCCTGTGCAGCTGATGGAAAGTCATATCAAGGGTTGCCTTGCCTGGTCCGAACGAGCACCACAACTCGGCAGCCAATGGTTGGAGAAATGGCTTCGTAGGCACTTAGTTGCCAACTGAAAAAGCACATCGACTATATTCGACTATGACTATGCAGACGTGTTTTGAACGGACTCGGTTTTGCTTGTCAAGTAGACTTGATTGGTTTGCTGCAGTTTCCACGTCGATATCCAGACGCACATGATTAATGCTCGGTTGCTGGGTTTTGAAACTGAGTTCCTTTTGCGGCTCGCAATCATCGACCGCGCTAGAGAGCTGGTCCAGCGACCCAGTGGAAGGACACTGGATCCATGTGCCTTTAGCAAGAATAATGGACTCAATAGCTGCTAGAATGAACAAAGTATATTTGGAAGATTCAATTTGCTTGGCACTGGAAGAGCAGACGAACCCAGTTCAATGGTCCTGATATGTCCTGATGGGATGAGAATCACTTTGCAAAGTTCCGGGACATCTCGAGGTCGGCCGGAAAGCCGGGAAGAGGACCATACATGTCGGTTGCTCAGTCGCATGCGGCCATCTCGGACTCTGAGTCTGGAAGAAGGCACACTATGCTATTTGCTATCTATGCGTTATCGCCCGGATGGAAGAGTTGGATCTACTAGCTTCTTGTTTCTAGTAGTAAGGCCAGGAGCCCCTAGTAGCGTCCTTGCTCCTAGTAGCGATGCCAGGAGCCCCCAGTAGCGTCCTCTATATGCTTTGTGATCTTTGTGATTGCTCTGTTTAACTATTCCATCTCCCAAAAGAGAGCACCAGCACAACTGTCGCTCGCTTTTCAATCAGCCAGACACGTGTACACAGGGTACATGAGACCCCCAAGCTCCAAACCCAAGGTCTTGACCAGAGAGCCTGACATGCCGAGAAACACGCCGGGCATGGTCTGCGCCAGAGTGAGCTGTGACTTCTAGCTACTAGTACCAAGGTGCCTTACTACTAGTAACAAGCTACTAGTAGTAAGGTGTAGTAAGGCACCTTGCTACTAGTAGCTTCTTTTGTAACTGTGTTCCCAGCGGCTCTGAATGCTTGCCAAGGGCCTGAGCGAGTCTGCGGTGAAGCAGGTCCTGGAGGAGTTTGGCATTAAGGATCTGCCCAGGGGGCTGGTGCACGCGCTTCCTTTACGCACATTGCATGGGTTTGAATTTCTGAATATATGTGAAACATGTTGGAGGTGAGGAATCAATGTCGACATTGACCTTGCTATTTGAGAGGAGTCTACTACAGTCTTGCTTCCTTTGGCAAACCAACCATCGAGATCAGTAAGAGCTTGTTCCACATCATCGAACTGGCTGAAGCTAGTGCAAGGGATCCTTGATTGAAGTTCGTGGTGTGATGCCAAACCAGCTAGACATTCTTTAATACATACTGGTAGACCTAAAGGTGAAGCGCGGATCACATTTCAGCGTTGCACGCCCCGGCAGATTTCACCGCGACAGTCATCTCAAAGTGCTCCAAAGCTGATGCAGTCATAACTAATGCGTTGTAGTAATATATTGTTTTCTCTATGTGTTTCAATCGCACCACAAAACGACCAGTAGAATTGCCAGGGTAAAGTGGAGCCTTCAGACTTCGGGCGCATCCGCATCCGCGGGGAAGAGTCGGAAGGCTCAGGCGGCGACAGTCTTTGGTTGTTCATTTCCGTCTTTGGGGGCGCAGCCATTTCCAGGACATGACCACTTCAGATATCATGCCAATCGTAGAACTGTTACCACCTGCCAAGTTGCAATTGTTCACCCTTTCATATCCGTTCACCCTTTCTCAGGCGTGGTCTGGACAATTCACAGAGTCATAGAAAGCAGACGATTGATGAAGATGTTCATTTCATTCTGAAGAATGACCCAACCATTCACGATGTCAGGCGCACACAGAACGATCCTTGTGCACCTTTCGATGGTCCCAACATGTACATGCCAGTATGAATTTGACACTCAGATGATCATGACAGTGATGCTGCTGCTGCTGATGATGATGATGATGATGAAGAATAGGATGTGATGTCGCCAGCTTCGTGCGCAACATGTCTTGAAGTACTTGTTCACCACATGAATTCCTGAGTCCTGATCCCCAAGCAAACTAGGACTTGATTTGTATTTTGGACCCTTTCTTGTGAATAAAGACATGTTCTTTTGTAGACACCTTGTGCGACTGTTTGCTTCTATCAGGGTATGTTGCCACCATGATTCATGAACGGTAGGGGGCCGACCCCCCCCGGCTTTGACATGCTCTGATCAGAACTAAGGCTAAGGCACCTCAAAATCCCCACCCAAAAGATGCTTTAAACTTGCCGTGTAGATATTGGCCACGATTTGGAATCGTGGGAATAGAGAGTTGGGAATTGGCGAAAGGTATAATATGAAAGGGATAGTCGATTTTTCCAAGGCATGGAGAAAGGTGAGCCAGTGAGCACTTTGATATCACGAAAGGTAGCGGTTACGCTACCTGAGTTTTCCTTTTGCTTTAGCAAAAATGTATTATATACCCAGAGTGGAGCCTTTCTCACTGAGAAATGGCCCCCGACATATTCGTTCGCTGGCCGGGGCCCCCCCCCCCTTTCAACTCCACCCTGGCGCGCCTCGGGGTCAACGGCTCGAAAACACCGTAAATACCAGTGTTTTCAGCTCTTCCAGTCCTCAACAGTGGCCGAAAACCATGCAATTTACAGCATTTTTTGTGGCTGTCCGGCAAAAAACACCATAAAAACCGATGGTTTTTGATGCGTCTCGGTTTGAAAAATGACCGACAAATTACCAAAAGCCAGGAAAGATTTTGTCGGAAAGGGTTTTTGAGGCTGTTGGAGGCTTCAAAATTGCACAAAACTATGGTATTTACACTGTTTTGTGCACCTTCCCGGCAGAAAACGACGGTATTTACACGGTTTTCTGCGCTTTCCCAGCACACAACCGTGGTGCGCCTCTGGATCGACGGCTACAAAACACCGTAAATACCAGTGTTTTCAGCTCCTCCTGTCTGAAAGCATGGCCTCAAACCATGCAATTTACAGGGTTTTATGTGTAGGCTTCAAAGTGGCCACAAACTTGGCTGATCCAAACGCACAAGTTCGTTTCTCCCATACAACCTTTCACGTAATATCAATGGTTTTAAGCTATGTAGGCGGTTTCTCTCCACACGCAGTGCTGCGGTACCTTTCGTTCACCCCCTTCCTCTTTCAAGTTGAAATTGATATGCTTATGGGTGGAGAAGCAGTGAATAAAGCTAAGCTAAGTGATGAACTAGATAAGGTCTTGGTCAAGGTTCCTTTGAGAACCGTGGTTCTGGGCGTTTTTTTCTATCGAGAACATCTGACAAGTAATTACGTAATACAACAAACCCTATCACTATTCATGGGTGGATATTATTTAGTGCATAGGCCCTGCATGGGGGGTACCCATTGTGAGATGTTTTGGACACCCACATGTAGCTTCATCATATAGAGATAAGGTTGAACTCCAATGGGATTTGATACAAATCCTTCTCAGGATCCAAAGATTTTCAATTCCATCAAGAACCCATCCGAAACCATGACAAAAAGTCAATAAGTAGAACACAAGCAAACACTATTAAACAAACATTGTTGCACGGAAGCATGATGGTAGTTTATTCATCAGTGCAAAGGGAGTTTTGGCAAAGCAATTGACTTTATTTCGGTGCTGTTTGTTGATCGTAGGTGGACATCAGTTGTTTGCTGTCGTGCCTTGGGTGATATCAAAGTGCATTCAGCTTGAAATCAGGGTGCTGTAGCTCGCCCTGAGAGAACGCAGCCAACCATTTGTCCACGCAATGGACTTCAGCATCTAAATCAGGAGCTTGTAGAGTTGTAGCTCGAAAGAAGGGTTCCAAAGCGCCCATTGCCACTTGTTGCGAGGTGTTGCTCTAGCATATTTGCTTATGCGAGCGGCATTATGTAGACAAGAGGATCCAAAGGTTTGCTAATTGATCGGATCTCTACAGCTCAAGAATGTCTTTCGTTTCGCCCTACATAAAGGGTTCAAAGTTGCTGTTAAGAGGTCTAATAGAGGTCCCGGCTGAGATTGGTTTCGCGAATGTGGAGCTATCTGCCGAGGCTCGAACGTTTTGGCTGCGAGCGGAAGGGATTGCAAATGAGGAAGACAGCCAAGACGAGAACAAAGGTGAGAAAGTGAGAACGAGTGGACGAACACGAAGCTGTTGCGGTCACATGTCACTGAGCCGGAGGGGTCAAAAGCAATTTCTGAGAACCCATTCTAGTTCACCACCATTGGATGATGTTTAGTGAAACTCATTATATATGTTATTTTATGTTAATCATGATCCCAGGCTCTCTTCAAATCAGATATTGGCAACTATTCTCCCTTTCAGATCATGAGAATCGCAGTCATGTTGAATTTTGAAGATGCTGACAGAGATCATGGATCTTGCGAATCACTGATCCCTCCTGCTCCGCTGGTGAGTATGTCAGCGATTACTTTGTTTGTGAGTGTTTTGATCCTGCTATCCAAGTTCCTGTGAGCTTTTTGCCTTCCAGGTGCGTGCTCGCTGAGAGAGGGAACCTGTCCCTCTCACCTTTGTGAGGAAAAAGCATTGCTTCTTGGTGCCACACTATGAAATCTTGATTTGGACCACATTGCAAAGCTATGCAAGAATTCACATTTTGGTTGGACAAAAGTAGAGTCGGTTCTTGCAGTTTGTGCAATCAAAGATGCGACAGTATAAAACACATGCAGAAGCATCCAGACTCCGAACACATCGGACAAATCACCAACAACTGGGAGCAAGGATGCGGCGACGGGGAATGATCCTAGACCCTAAGCTATGGGCACAGTATTTTTTTTTTAGCCTCTTTTCTGCGCCTCAGGTGGATCACGCTGGTTCTCTGACAAGACACCAGTGTCGTTTGAATCAGAGCAAGCCCGCCCTTTGCTTTTTGTTGGGTACACATGTTGCACAGCAATCCAATGCATGCGTCAAAGCTTGCAATTTTTTTCCTCGTTGTGGCTAAGTGGGCCTGCAGGGAAAGGCCAAGACTCTGAGCACACAGTCGAGGTCATAGTCAGTTGACCTGACAAGCAGCTCATGAGCTCAGCTCTACTTAGCCGACTTGCCTTTTTAATTTATGATTCCAAACCGCATCAAGTCGCTCAGGCTTTGCTGATCCAATACTGTATTTTGCTTGCTTCAGCTCCGAGAAGGAACACCATCTTCGAACAAGATCGTTCGTCAGTCTTTCGGACACATGTCTAGGAATGTCTAGGTCTAGGCCACGCACCTGCCAGCACTATTCCCTGCATGGAGCCTAGCTTCGGTTCCTTGTAGAGAGAGCAGGAGGCTTATCTTCAAGCTACCCCAATGCATGGTGTGGCTGGCAGATCTCGAATGCATTCGAATGCACCATAATTGAACTCTTTAGCGCAGCGAGGCGCCTCTGCTAGCTAGCAGCATTCGTTGTCTTTCCATCCAGCCAGTCGCTCACGCTTGGCTTTGCCTTCACACTCACACCCCAATAGTGGCTGAGTCACGCTGAGTCAGAAGGGCCCTGCTACGTCAACAATGGTATGCTGTACTCAACGAAGTTCAGATGCGTGGGCCAGTCAGACACCAGTGCTATCTATATAGTGTTTTTTATTGATAAGGTGTTTCTTCCTGCAGCCCGTTGTGAGAAGAATCATGTTTGCGCCGAGACTGCTCTGAGTCAGGTCTGCAGTTTCTTGCAGCTTAGCAGGGTCGACTTACTCAGCCTTCTGAGTCTCAAAAGTAAACGCACATACAAGACAGCGCTAGCGACATGGCGCAAGCTTTTAAGTCAATTAGTAGCTTGCACTTGACACTTCCACAAGCCGTAGCAGAACCTCAAATTCGATACACTTTGTATAAACCCATACTGTAAGACCCTAAGATGGTGCCTGTACGGCGGTGCCTGTGGTACAGTATACCTCCATTGAAAAATCAGCAGCGATGTTAGGGTCCAAAGCTACGCACTCACGCCAAGTGCCTTTGCACAATTTTCCATTGTGACCCTGCCCTTGCTCTTCGGCCATGGATGAAGCGCTTCACGCGACTTCTGATGCTGCTTCTCTCTTTGCTCCTTGGCACAGTTGCATACTGCAGCACATCATTTGCCAGAGAAATGCATATTTCTGTATATTATCAGAAAAATACTTAGTTTACATGCAGTGCACTGTGCAATTGCAAGGTTCAGCATTGCCGTGGTCGAGGCAATCCACGCTGCTCTTGGGGCTCCGATTTTTGGGCTTACATTACAATATAATTGCAATAATATATCCCCGGTACATCCCGGTACGCTACAAATGTAAGTATTTTTGCTCAGCAAAATGACCGAACCAACCAACCCTCATTTTATAACTCCCTTTTGGAAGATTGGTAGTTCCTGAAAAGGTAACAGGTATTGACAATCTATGATATCGCTTGAAACTTTTTGCCATCGGGAACAAAGCAAAGAAGTATGGACAAATTTGAATGCCCTTTTGCAGGCAATCTGACGCGATTGCCACTGCGTGCTGCTGTTACATGCTGGTACATGTTGTAAAACAGAAAATGTTAATTCCAAATCATTGGATTATTTGTATTAATCATTAATTATAAGGGAACGTCTTTACAAGATGTGAAACCTTTGTTGGCACTTGATCCAGAAAGGGTCATGATATCCCAATGTATCCACGCAAAACAGGCAGCCAATCCCCTGCAGGCAGAGCAGAAACAGAGAAGAAACAACTCCGTTGAGCACATCGTTTCATGTTGTTTTTGTTGATATTACAACGTATCGGTGCTTTGTTGGGACGTTTTGAAAGGTCGTTTTTGTCACCGATGATGCTGTTTGGTAAAGAGCTAAACAATGTGGTTCAACTTTGAAAGTGGTGTCCTCCGTAGCTTTTCGCAGGCTGCAGAGCAGGGCCATGCGCAAGGGCCCGGCAGAAGTTGGGAAGAGTCCTACCAGCTGGCAAACAAGAAGCTCAGCTTGGGGAATGATTTCACTTTACAACTTGACAGTTCTTCAACTTCTTCTTGTCTGCAGATGTTTACATGTATATTCATACTGGTACCCAGTCAGTGGGTAACCTTTAACCTTTTTTGATATTGGTATTCCCACACAAATCATACAGGTGGAAAAAGGATGAACTGAAACAGGTTCACCTATTGTGTTAAGCTATATTTTCCATGGAAACGGAGGGGGTCAGTATAATTACATATTATATCATGCACCAAACACTGCAAACATCACTCAAATACCACGCGTATATAATACAATACAATAGACAACAATATATCAGAGTGCTCCCCCTGTAGCAGTGCAAAACAAGATTTACATGTACTCAGTTAGCGAAAAGGAGCACCAGCAAATCCTGAGAGAGGGAAGGAGACAGAGAGACAGAGAGAAAGAGAGAGAGAGAGAGAGAGAGAGAGAAAAAAAAAGGAGAGAGAGGTTCCCAAGCCCACCCCCAGAAAGAGCACTGGAAAAAGACAATGACCGGAATGACTTGACGAAATCGAGCACCAGAACAGCACCATGACTGGACAAAATCGAGCACCAGGAAAAGCACAATGACTGGACGAACATATATTGTCAATATAGTGTAAATTAACACATATACTATTGTTAAAGAGTATTTGTAATACCAATACTAGTAGTAAGAAAAAAGACATAATATATACATATGTATATAATTGTATGGTTTTTCAGTGCAAAAGGCTCTCTGTATGGTCTGCGGACCTGCGTTGCTTTGATGCCCAGGACAATGGAGAAGTTAAACACGTGGCAACGCTCCAAGCTGGTCAAAGGAACAGGTTGGCAAGGATGGCAATTGAGCCGAGGGTTTTATGCCACTTGTTGGCATTTAATTGCAAAGCAGCAGATTTGGGCTAGCCTAGGGCGATGATGAGTCGCAACAGTGATTTGGAGCAACATGATGACAACATCATTGAACGGAAAGAACTTTGGGTGAGCAAGATGCCTTGAAGAAAGATGGATCCAAGTTCCATCAAGCGCTCATTGAACATGTGAACGTATTGGTGTGAACCCAGCATCCATTCATGTGGGGCTATCAGGTGGAATCTTGCGATTTGGAATTGTCTTTACACTCATATGACTTAGTATGTCTTAGTATAGTCATACTGTATATATATAAGATAAACACACATATATATATATATATATTTGATCTATTCCAAGGTCGGGACCATCACTGGCAGTGCCACTGCAGAAATTCCGTGGCTCAAGATGCAAGAATCTTGACTGGATGGAGCAGGGATCTAGTCATTCAATTAGTTCTGCCCTCTTTAGTCCTCTGCCAAGCTTTTCTGGACCGAGCGGAATTTCTTGACTGCGCGGCTCAGGACAATGGTAATGGTTTCCGATCCATGCTGCCGGAGACTGTCGGGACCTCCGAGTGTAAGCTGTAAATTAAGTTGAACTTCTTCGGAGATATCAGCGGTTGATCTAGTACATTGAGGATCGTACGCTGAGAACTGAGAGCCGCTTTTCCTTTTTTTGCATTTTCAACATGTTGGGATGTGGTGATCCAGAGTACATTCGTAAAGGATCCTCCACAGAGGCTCGATCAAAAGATCCGCACCGGAGTTGTTGCCTCTCAGGTCGGGACTGTGACCGCACCTTGGACAACTCAACTACTAGCTTCTTTGCTCCTAGTAGCGATGCCAGGAGCCCCTAGTAGCTCGTTACTAGTAGCCATGATTCTGTTGAACTTTTATAATTTGCGAAGACGTTTTCACATGAGGGTTCAGTCTGAAGGTTCGCAGAGACCTTAACAAGGTAGTATGTTGTGATTGCTACCTCATACGTTTTACAGAAGCTAAAGCGGCAAGATGCGGCAAGCCTCCACCTTTACAGCTCAGATCATATTTGTTTGACTTTGTTCCTTTCTACTTGTCGGGGAACCTCCAGCGTGCAGCTAATAAATATTGATGGCATTCTCACAGTCACATGATTCACAGGCTCCTGCCATTCTATCATGGCAAAATCTTTTTGGATCCAGCTTGTTTGAAATAAGGTATGGCCCAGTCCCTTAGCACTGGCTTCCACCTGGGATGAGGAGGTGCATACCAGCATTCAAAACCATGTACTATACCAAGTGTGTGAACTGTAGGGTGTGTAGTTGTGCCTTTGTGGAGGATTTCTGATCTGATAATATGACAATACGGTATACATGTATACATACACTTGACACATCTATTTGATTCATTGTGCGGTCAAACGCATGTTAAGCAACCCCGATGGAGTTCACATTGGCTTCCTGTCTTGGACAAGGCGGTTGCAGCGCAAGCAAGTGCCATCGGCAAAGAGTTCCGAGGTACAGCTGGATTCAGCAAACATTTTTGGAGTTCATCGTTGGGCACGCTTGATACCTGCAGAGCTTTACTGTAAGTCGTATGGACATGCTAGTTCGGCGCTCGGATTTGCCTTTGCAAAAGGTAGAACAGTCTATGCAGCTCAAAAGCAACAGACATGTTCGGAAAGCTTGGCCTTGCAAGATCCAGAGACTGGCCTTGAGGTTTAATCGCGTTTTTGCGATTTTGAGGGTAGAACATTGCTGACCATCCGTCCATCTGCATACTTGGGCTAGGAAAAGGATCTAGGCACCAAATGAATATTGCAAGGAAGCCCCCCTGCCCTGAGGTAGTGTTTTTGATGAAGTCTGAGCTTTCCTGTGTCGCATCTACTACCCCCAGGTCTACCCACCTCCCCCGCGGGCCAAAAAACATGAACAACAAAACAGCTCACCGACCCAGTGCAAAGTTCCACCAGGCAAGAGCGCCAACGTCATGCTTGGCCCGGGCTTGAACGTGCACCGGACTGTGCTGACAGTATTGTATGATGCATTAACGCAGACATACGGCACCGTGTCTGAATAGTATTATAGTATTGGATGGCAACTTTGCATCCGTTGAACAGTTTTCAGAAGAAGATGAAGAAGGGTCGTGCCTCCGTGGTGTGGAACAGTTTCTTGGCCTGTTTGACAGTTGTTGCAAGGTTGGAGGGGTTACATCATCATCGGTCCGTGGAAGAGAAGAGCCTTAGGCTTTAGGTCCTTAGATGTGAAATGCTCAAAAAAACGCTTGGTTGCTTAGTGCAGGATATCTCGAGGTGGCCGCAATTTCGAGTACTTGCCTGGTGAGGAATGCTTCAAAGGGAGTGGAGTCACTGCGGTTGCTTGTGATATATCTAAAACTATAAAACAGATGGGCATCACATCATTTTATTGTGCTTGCATACGTCATACGTCGACACATATTCACAATTGTCGCAATGGTTCAGATTTGTTTGAGATTTTCAAGAAGTTCAAGCAGCTCCTTTTGAGTGCAGGATCCCTACCTGGGTGCGCGCTTGGCACGGTACTTTGTCGAGGCTGTTCAACGGCAAGGTGTCATGGCTGTTCTGATCCTTGGCCTTTTGCCGTTTTGCCGAATTGGTGGCTAGGAGACCTGCCAGATGGACAGTTGCTCTAGACCCTCAGGCATCCCCTGACCTTGATGAACAAAGAAGAGCGTCCTGCATGTACAGAAGCTCCAACATGCAACATTCAATTTACTGTACCTTTTATGGTTCTCTTGCCCAGGCACTAGTCCGTTCATGACTGTCTCAAGACCCTGGACAGCTGACGTGAAAGAAAGAGAAACCCATGCAGGTAGGGTCTTAGTAGTTTCGCACCAATCGGAATCACTTCAGGAAGCACTTTGGCTTCAACGAGCAGGAGACCAACCGCGGCACCGTAAATTCCGTAGTGGATGATCACACAGCGTTTCTTGGCACATTTTGAAGGTAAAGGAGTTCGGTGGCCTCCGAGCCTGGCCTCTGAGCCTGTTTGAACACAGCATTGTCGGCATATCAACCTTTCAGGATCAGTTTTGGACTTATTTCACCCAACCGTATGCATGCAGGCGAAATCTTTGCTTTTATCCAAATCGAAAGACATGGAACATTATTGAATTCAAGGCTTGAGGAGGAATGTCTTTTTGCGACACATGTTCGAACATTTCAGGTGGGAGCTCTACTACCAGCCTTTTGAGGCTGCGATTGATGCCGGCGCAGGACAGACATGGGAGATGTGCATAAAAAGTCATGAACACTGAAGCAGCTGCATCAGCTCATCTTCCTTACCAGTTCTCCAGCTGAGATGAAGTGATTGGCTTGCGTCAGGAGCAGTTATGTGCTCTTACAACAAAGTCAATAACACACCGGCCTGTGCTGTTGCCCAGACCAGTTCTGCCAAAGAAGATCCTCTCGTAGATGAGAGTGCAAGTTGAACTGGATCGGGCCAGACAAGTCAAATCGGGCACTTGCTTTATTTATGAACACTGGAGCAGGTAATTAGGGGCTTGATGTTCGCCGAGCTTTGTTGCAAATTCCGAATTCCCTTTTCCCGCAATTAGGTAGCTGCCCAAGATATCACTGAGGCGGCAGTCACGACCTTCTCACCCGTGACTTGACGCTCAGCTTGGTATGCTTGTTGGAGCCAGGCGCTCGTGGTTCCAAAGTGTATCTCCAGAGTTAGAGGTGTATGTAAGGGCACTGTTTGCTGTTGTTGCTTTCTGACGATCCACAGTTGCGCGAAAGCAGATGCTCCACATTGCCAACTGTCTTTGCACCAATTTCAACTTGATTGATATTGAACCAGGTTTTGTGAGGTTAGATAGCACCATCCAGAGATGTTTCTGGAGCACATTTAACATGAGAAGCGAGTCAAGGACAATCAGAGCTTCATTCTAAAAAAGTTACTGTATATTATAAAACATACAGTACGTTGGTGTACGGTATACTGAGTATACTGCAATATACGGTATATCTGAGCCGTTTTCTGCCAGCCAAGTCAGTCGATCAATCACCAGACCTACAGTACATGCGATCTGAGGAGGGAAAAGATGAACTTCAAGGGCTTCGTGATGAGTGATTGGGGTGCAGCCCATTCCACTGCCTTTAGTGCTGGCTTGGACATGGACATGCCCGGCAATGACAATTTCTACACCTTCCAGGCCCGGTTTTGGGGATTCCACTGCGAGGCTTACGACACAATCGGCTGGTTCTCGTTATGTACATGTTGACTTGAAGGACAGCGTAGGAACTAGTACTGATGTGGACATGGCGCTTGGCACTGCTCACCTGACCCTTTCTTTGCATGGTGTGAATGAATTTGCTGTAAACCAACAAAACAAAGAAGTCACTGTCTTCAGTGTTATTCTGATACGTGGGTTGGCATAGATGTGATTTATTTGCTCCTCTTGGCTTTTCTCTGGAGATTCCTCTTACGACCAAGGCTATTTCTCAAGCAAGTCAAAGCAGTGTTAATGCATCGATACGTCGAATCTTGGCTTCGATGTACCATCTCCGTCTGGACCAGGCGTGGTCTTGCTGTGCTGCAGGAAGGTTGTCACCAAATTGATATGTGTGCATGTACCTATATAGTACAGTATATTGCTAGTAGATGCTAGTAGCAGAGTTGCAGAGTTTGTCTTCGCTTTGCTTTCTTCAATCGTTCGTCACTTTGGTGGTCAGTGGTCAGGGAGATCCAGGCTGTACACCACCGCTGTGCATCAACGACTTGGCTAAGGCATGGATCTTTCGGGTTTGATAGAACTTGTTTTGTGATGCCTCATTTGCTTTGCATATGATATTATTGGCTGTGATGATAGGTCCATTCTAAAGCCTGGGCTCCACATACATCTCATCTCTTTTTGCCGGAAAGTGCCGCTTCAAGGACGTCCAGCAAAAGGCTGACGTACCCCTGGCCAGACGGATTGCCTCTCAGGCCGAGCCCGTGTTCGGGCGGTCGCGACCAAAGTGCAATTCCAACAAGTTGGGGCTCTGCAAATACTTGTATGTGCAAAGGGGATATATTTGTAGTCATATCATACTCAGGAAGTTTGAGACAATTCCACACTCGGTGTCCTTTTCTACAGTAATCCTATTCTGCGAGCTTTGCACTGACCCACTGAGCCTCAGCAACCTGCGCAGGCAGTGATTATGCTCCAGAACAACGGGGCGCTGCCACTGAATGCATCGAAAGTAAGAACCTTTGAAGTGAATCCAAGGAATATCATGTCGTTTGCTTTGGTCCGCCAAGCTTTATTGTGTTTTCCCTCGTTTGAACACTTGCTACAAGGTTGAACTATACTTGTGAAGGCATACTAAGTCAGGGCATATTATGTCTTGGAGTTGAGTTGCCAGAACCTTTGTCATAGCAACGGAACGAGTAGTTGAGATCTAGCATCACAGGGCACATGTTTGGGCTTCTAGAATTCCGTTGAGGTATCGACATGGTTTCCATGTGCATTGATGTCTTTCCGCGCCGACCAGTTCGTCAGGAAAGTTGGGCATTGTGGGTTCAGCAGCAGATGCTTCGTTCAGCGATTTTCATCAGACGCTAAGTGCTCACAAGGGATTGTTGGGACAGACCAAGGTTGTACCCAGGCCAGAGGAGAAAAACATGAATCATTAAACAATTACTGTAAACAATTTAGAAAATACCAGTAGATGCAGATACAGTTTGTCCCTCTTTCTCTCTAATGCTCTTCTCAAGCTGTGGCAAGACATGGCTGCGATGTTATGCCCCATGGGCATGCAGGATCTTGTAGGATTGTAGGCTGTAATTGCTTACACGAGCAGTTTAGGGCAACCATTTGAAACGTTCTCCTTGCCATGCCCTAGCTGAATCGATCAGATCATAAACACATTGGAACAGCCCAGGACTATGAACGGCCTGCCGGTTGTTGCGTGCTTAAGCCAACTGGAGAGAGAGAGAGAGAGCGACTGGGAAGCCGTCCGTTCATTGTCGCAGTCAACAACGATTGATCAGTGGCTGGTACTTCCATGATCGTTTTGATGCCGCAGTTAGTTGGTCCCACCCTACTGACACTCCTTGCAACGTCAAACAATGCAACTTTGCAACGTTGCCGAGCATTTGTTCATACACATTCACTAGGACTGTGTGCCAAGGGCGATTTCTATTCTGGTGGCGGTTCTGGTCATGTGCAAGGCAGCAATCAGAGCTTGGTGACCACCCTGCAGGCGCCTTTGGTGTGAGATGTTCAAAGATATTACTGTAGACCCGAGTGGACCTCAGATTGAGAGTTTGAGAGCAAGGACATGATGGGTAGAGCATGACAAGGACCATTGATCAATGCAGTTGCAGAACTCTATCCTCATGTCATCTCCACCCATGAGATCTATGGAGCGGCAAAACTACCGCAGTTCCTGCCTCGGCATGACCACAACCCAATTATGGTCCTGAACAAGAGAACAGGATAATCGATAACGCACAGAAGGTGTTGTACTGTACCTCTTGAAGATACTATGGGGACCAAAACGATGATCATGTCAAGTTTATTTTGGCATTGCACTTGGCAAACTAAAGATCTTGTAAGTAAGTACCTATTTTGGACTTGGGAAACTTGAACCACGAACCCGCTGACAAAAAGCATCCAGCGACTTGTTCAAACGAGGAAACAAGCAAACAAGATGCTTTGGCTGTGTGTATTTCATTACCAAGTTGATGTTCCGGGTTGGTCTAGGTATTTCAATTTGGCAGTTTCTTTGTTAAATGCTTTTGGGAAGCCTCTGGACAACTACTTTGTCAATATAGTTACTGAGCTATGTTTGGCCAAGCGTGTTGGAATAAATGCAGGCAATCATCGATCGCGCTCAAGAGGAGAAGATCGAAGTCCTGTCTGCGTGAGTCTCAATCGAAGCCTCCCACATCCCACTTGAAGTGATGATGAACAATACATTTTTTGCCCACTCCTACTAATTAATTAAGTAGGCGCCTACTTAATTAAGTAAGGAGGTAGTTCGCTACTAGGCTAAGTTAACTTCTACGTAGGATGCAGCATAGCTCATGCTTCTTGAAGAAGCGCTCGCACTAATCATTTGGTTCCTAGATCTTTAGGGAATCTTAACTTGTTTATCTCATGCCTCTTGGTCATGCTTAGCTTCCTCACAGAGGTTGGTGTTCCCTTGACTACAGGCCAACACCTCCTTCAGGCACAACCACTCCAGGCCTGCACTTTTTGCTTTTCACTGATGCAGCGGTGTCGAGCCATTGTGATTGTGTCAAAGAGACTCGTTTGCATGGCAAGCGATTTCCCATGTCTTGGTGTGGCAATGTAAAGGAATTGTGGGACAGGCTGTGACAGGCGTAAAACTGATTCGAGTCACCACGGACAATGTCAAAGTGAAAACGTCACTCGAAATGCTAGGCCTTGGGGTGCCCTGCAGCAGGAGGCAGCGGAAAGAGGGCTACTGCAGATGTTCACGCTGGTGTTTATGATGGCCCTAGAAGCTGAAGAGTCAATAACTTAATGGTATTGCAATGTATCGCAATGTTTGTTCCAACTTCAATTAGAGGGAGCCTGCCTGGGTACATTACAGCTGTTTCTTTCTTTGGACATTCTGTTGCGTCCTTTTATTTTCAGAACTTCCTCAGAAAGCTTGTTTGCAGCCGATGGCGATGGTGACCTTTGTTTCATTGCAGTGAGCCTTGCACCGATCTCGAGAGGCAGACCTTCTGGTGGTGGTGGCCGGGGTCAAGACAATAGAGTCCAAAGATCGACCCAACCTTGTCCTCGACCCAGCCGATGCGCCTTGTATGCACTTGCTTCCACCTGTGCCAGCCTTCATGATGTTTCTTTCAATGAAAGACTCCAGTGCAGATGAGTGCAGTTTTCTTTTTTGCTTTTTTGATTTCAACATTTGATGGATTGATGGACTCAAACAGGATTGAAGTTGTTTGTGCAGCCGCTCAACCGATTGCCAGTGCCAAGGAAGAACTGATCAAGGAGGCCAGCGTGGCAAAGCCCACCATTGTATCTTGGTGAATGCAGCAAAGTGGATTTGAAATTGTTGCCTTGCTAGAGGGAAGAGAGCAGCAGTAATTTTTAGTATAAGTATAAGTTGGACTTTATCTCAAGGCTCGCTCGATCTTGGTAACCATGTCACAGCTTTAAGTGTTTCTCTTCGAAATGATCTTAAATTAAGCTAGGTCTGCTAGGTCTTTTTATTGTGATAATGTATGCATATAAGCATATAGTATCCCCCGTAGAGTGTAGAGCTTGAGAACAAGTCCTGCACCTTAGGGGAAACACACAGCCGCAATTTGTGCAACTTCTAAGATTCTCGAGATGTTTGCACGGGTTGCAGCAGACTAAACCGCCCTATATCTATAACTATCATATATATTTACACACATTAATTATATATACTGTAATACACCATGCTATAAGAAGAATTAGAGAGCTGAACCGCTATTAGAAACAAGAAGTTACTAGGAACAAGTGCATAGTAACAAGTGCCTTACTAGTAGTAGCAAGAAGCTATTAGAAACAA